TTATATATTGTAACAGTTATTCTGTAATCACTTATTGTTAACAAATGAATTATGTAATCAAATTTAAGATGTTCGATTCCATAGCAATCCAGCGATACCAGTAAGTGAGATGACAACCAATTATTTAGCCAGTGAATTACGACGTTCAATGATTATTCCAGTGAGTGAACGTCGAAAGTTCTTTGAAACGATCGCTGAATACAGTCATCCTTTCTAATAAAAAAATGATATTTGATAACACTTTAAAAAGAAAAAGCAAAAAATATTTCTTTCCTATAGGACAGAAAATTCAAATTGTCACTTATTGCAGTTCAGTTTTTTTAAAAAAAAAATGACAAAACTAATAAATTGAAGCGAATAAAATTACAAGGAAAATTTTTAATAAGAACATTGAATTAAAAATTTCCCACTTTTAAAGTTCTAGTCAATTTGTCAGAGAAATGAGATTTATAGCAGAATAATAATGCATACTGGGATAAGAAGCTACAAAACTTTAATTTTATTCACATTCATTTAGGAAAATATTTCAGGAATTTATGAGGAAATTATTTCATCATTATCTTGTAATAAAGGCAAATCTTTCGGTCTGAGATCTTTTCTTTCAAATATTTTATCACTTTTCATCTTCTTCATTCATTTTAATCATCCCTTCCCATTCTCTTTTGATCTCGTATACTTTTCGCTAAGAAAAGCTGCAAAAATTAAAGGCAAGATTAGTTCTTATAAAATTTCATATATATTAGTCATGCGCGGTTTTTTTTTTTTTTTTTTTTTTTTTTCCCAACTGGTCATTTATGCCACTGGTGATTTTCTGATGTGAAATTTTGATTTTGTTCAGTTCAGGCCTGCTGTCTTGTTTTTGAACGTGTAATAGATTAATTATGTTTACATTTTCGTGCAATGAACTCAGAATCAAACTTTTCTCAGAAAATGGCTAGCATAAGGGTACATCAATAGAATTATGCTAAAGTTATGAATTACTTAGTTCCTAATTATACATTTTTTTTTCCACTCGATTGAACTCGATGAAAAGTAAGGAAATACGAATTGGCAAATATTTCTTAATGTGATATTATTCCAAAACAACAAAATATCTTTCTTAATCTGAAGTAATTTAACACACTCTCTACTCTACTATTAATAAAAATTTTGAATCTCACATATAATTTTATTCATAATGCTGGAAAAATTTAGTATTTTTGAAGAGTTCTCCCAGACTACAATAAGGAAATATTATTAGCTATACCCATGCTTCGATTGTTCTTAAATCAAAATCCATAAATGAATTTAAATTCCATCCCTGAACATAGCTAGCTATTCATTAATTAAATATATTGGATGCTATCCACCTAACGAGCAATATACATTTGTTGTGATTCGCTTGCTGTCTGTATATCACTGTATAATAAATAAAACTCCTCAGTATAACTTCGAACACGCATTTAAATGCATTTAAATAAATTAATATGTATGTTATTATTTAGGATGAGAAACGATAATTGTACTCAGTTTGATTCAGTTTTCTTTCCCTCTAACCTCTAATTTTCAATTCAGAAGTAATATCGTAATTTGTTTAGAGAACTATTAATTCCAAACCTATTAACTATCCACAAGAATTTGTGTTTCCGAAAATTCTCTTCCAGTATTTGATGCTCCTGAAATGTTGAAATGCAAAAACATCAAAAGAAACTTGAAATCAATAAGATTATTATTAAAGTACATGAGGAATTATGAACAGTACAATCATTACAAACAAAAACGGGAAGTATCAAGACCGTCCAACTATCCAAAATGACTGCAATCAACATGCACAAAAGAATCCTACTAAATACTGACTTGAACATTTTATCACAAGAATTCGAAATCGAACAAAATCAGAGGATCACTAAGATATACAATATATAATAAGGGATACATCTCATGTTTACACACATACCAGTCACTCAATCCTGAAAAATTCAGAAGTAATATCGATTAAGTCTTCTCCCTCTAATTTATCAAGTCGATTTCCAAAATTAATTTCTTCCAATAAATGCAATAAATAAGGAAATATCATCGGAAACTAGCTGATATAAACGTTCGCATTAAGATCACTTTGGACAATCATTATTTGTTTTGGAAATACTAAAATATGAAGATGAGATAGAAATTTTTGGGAGTAAAATTAGTACAAAAGTGAACTAAATATGCGGACAAATGTTATAACTTAATCATTCGCTAAAATTCAGAGCAATCACCAATCTCTTCATCTTATTTCTATTTCCTGTCATAGAAACATGAAATGAGTCACTTTTTCTTCATTGCTTTCATATGATTCAGTGCTGAGCCAGCCTTAAACCATTCGATTTGAGCCGCATTAAAACTGTGAGACAGCCAGATCTCCTCCTTTTTACCATCAACGTGTTTCAAGATGCATTTTAATGGCTAAAAAAAAACCAAATCTTCAAGACTCGAAATTTTTATGGAACCATCAACAGTGTCAACTAATTTTTTAATGCGTAATCACATACGTTATGTAGGTATAATTTCACATCCTGATAAGGAACTAATATCTTAAAATAAAACAACACAAAAGTAATAGTGTTGAATAAAGAATTTACAAGAAAAGGTTGTTCTAACCTTGCCAGGTGCAAAATCATTCAAACCAACAATTGATATCTTGTCGTCTGGCTTAACTTTACTGTAATCATTTGGATCAGCAAACGCTTTTCAGAAACTGAAAACACCTGATATATTCAACATCAATTAATAAGGAATTTATTGCCTCCTATGTAAGATCCACTAAATCAAAATACTTCAGCTAATTTAAAGTAAAAAGACAACAAAATTTGAATGGAGTTTGAAACAATCATTATACGTTTTAAAGTATTATGTGACTATATTAAAAGCGGTCGATAAGGTTTCAAAAATCTTATTATTTGTGGTGAAGCAAAAGGTTCTTGATAATGCAAAAGCCAAATAAGTTAAATATTTTCTTTCCAGATTAAATTTACAGCGAACTGAAATGTAAAATACTTACCGTGAATCCGAGAAAGGTTTTTACAATAATTGCACGTCCACCGAAATGTCTAGGTTCTAAAGCTGCATGTTCACGAGATGAGCCTTCACCATAGTTTTCGTCACCCACTGCTATCCAAGCTACTCCATCCGACTTATAGTGACGTGTCGTTTGAGATGCCGTATCATACTTGCCCGTCAAATGATTGCGAACTTTATAATTAGAAATTCTTTCCCATAATCTAATAAATAAAGTCCTGAAATTGAGTGTTGTCGGTTTACAAAAATCTTTGAAGAAAAATTTAATTATCAAACCTTTTCGAACCAGTACTCAACAACTATAATTACCTTGTTCATTTCATCATTTTCCGCATTGACAGCAGTTAAGAATAGATTATTTGAAATATTATCCAAATGACCACGGAATTTCAACCAGGGTCCAGCAGCACTGATATGGTCTGTTGTACACTTTCCTTTTACCTGAATTTTAAAATACCAAGAGCAAAAATTAAATCATGAAGATAATGAAATTCTAAAATGAAAACTGGATTAATCTTCTGTGCAACTTACTTTAATTAATATTAACATATTTTCAAGATCCTTCCCATCCCAAGGATTGAATGAATGGTTTCAGAAGTTGTAAACGTTCACTATTTTCATTGACTACAACGTTGCCGTGTCCTGATGGAGCCTGATAATAGTTCACACCTGAGTCATAACCTTTTGGTGGCAAGCTATGACCGCTTGGTGCAATTTGCAACTTGAATTTGCTACCTGAAATAACATTTCCTTCAACTGCGAAATAAAAACATTTAAGCCAAAATTTGCAGAAGTACTCATCATATCAAAACTACCAAAAAACCGTAGCTTCTTCAGTGTACCGAAACCAGACACTTTCATCTTTCGAAATATCTTCTAAACCAGCAATCATTCTTTGAAGATATTAGCTTAGAAAATATTTTCTGTTGACATGTTCAGCTGAACAAAAGTGATACGTTAATGTAAAAATTTTTGAGGGAATATAGTACTGATATACCACGCTATATGTGAGTATTTGAAAATATTTGTGTCTCCTGTCGATCTCACAGCTACGTAAGCAGTCAAAATTTATAAAGTCACGTTAAAAAACTTTTAAAATCACAGATGTCTAGTAGAATGCATATTAGCAAGCATAACAGAAGCCTAATAACTAGACATAGTCCTATGTGTAGTCCAAAAATTATATAAGTGGTGAAATTGTGTCACTATTAACATTTTATTAACTTCAACAATTTCAAACAATTATAGCAGAATTTTTAATCAAAACAGAAATCAAACAGAATTAATATATATTAATAACTAACGATGAAAAGTGGTAATACATAATTACTGCAAAATGATTCAAATGAATTGGTATCACAACAATAAGAAATTGCTAATTCTGTTAATAGCAATTAAAAACAATAAATGGCTGATTAGCTTGAATCAATGCATTTTTATTCAACAACATACCTCAAAAAAAAAAAAAAAAAAAACGATTCGTTGGAATAACCAAATGATATTCAGGCATGTAATCGAAACAAAAAGAATCTTAATACAACCATAACTTAATAATAAATAAAAAAAGGATACATAAGAACCATGGACGTGAAGATGATGGCAACCAGCGTAGTATGACGACTGACATCAGATTGGGATGTGTTAGAGAGATCGAGAATATGATCAAATGATATTCCCTGTGAAGGGCAAATGGGTTGAATGGTATACACCGAGTTTTCGTGCAAATTAAGTAAGATAAGATATTTGCATATATTCTCCGAGCGCGAGAGAGTATTACTTCAGTAGGAAATGTTTTAAATGATTCTCATAAATGATTTTTTCAACTTTTTTTTTTTCTTAAATTGGAACTGGGTTAAAAAAAAAATTGTAGGGTATTTGATGACTTAAAAAAGATGAGATTGTGCGAAATTTTCCAAAATATAATCGAGAAATTAATTTCAGGAAAAATACAATTTTTGTGCGACATGCTGAGAATCATAGCGCCGTTTATCGAATGCATCAAAAGGAAGTAAGTAGATATTTTCATATATCCCTTCAATAGGAAATATTACTTAAGTAGGAAATGTTTTTATAAATTATTTTTTCAATTTTTTTTTCTAAAATTAGAATTGCGTTAAAGAAAAATTGCAAGGTATTTGATGATTGATATAAGTAGTATTGTGATCAATTTTAATATAATTGGAACGCATAATTTGGCGTTGTTTTATCATCAATTTGCATTTGATTAATTTGATAATTTTATAGAGCGGGCTCGCGTGTCGCCCAAAATCCAGAACGTCGGACTATTTCCGACGTTCTGGTATATTTGGAACGTGAACCTGTAATGCTCCAAGCATTACAGGAATATATGCGCGAAAGGGAGCAGGTAAATTCATTTTTCTTTTTTGTCATCAATTAAGGATTATAGAAAGAGTTATACTTCTAATTTATATGAAGAGTTATAGAAAGTACTTTCTTAAAATGTGGTCTTTTCAGATTGAAGACCTGCTCCTAACCTGCTTGGAGGATACGGAGAGGAGGTCGGAGGTCGAAGGGCAGGATGGAGAAGAACCGGTGCCTCAGGAGCAGGCATTTTACGAAGAAGAGGCAGAGTGGGCCCCTCTGCCTGAAACTAATGATACTGATGAGGCCGAGAATTGGCCAACGGAAGCAGAGTGGGCTCCTCTGCCGGAAAGCGATGAAGAAACTGAGGCACCGGTGGCACCAAATGCCGTTGCAGAACCGGTCGAATCGGTTCGCGAACTCGTCCTGTAAGCTTTGATATCTGAAATAAATGTAGTAACCATGTAGTAAACAAAGTAATAACTAGAACAATTGCTAACTTTTTGTTAATTTTATCTGCTGAATAATTTAAACCAAATTTGAAACTATTTCAGAAGGACGAGGACGATTAATGTTCCGGTTCTGGCGACGCATAGATCGGTTGCGGCAACACCGGAAGAATTCCACCCCGCTGATTTAGGGGATCTTCCGGAGCAGCTCCGACGGGAGTTGCTAGTGCCGCAAGCAGAACCATACACGGTGGTTCAAGCGAATGAAGAGAGGAACATCGGTAATTTATAATTTTAATAACGTTAGAAGATGATTTTATGTTTGTAATATTTTAAAGGAATATAATCATACTTTAATCTTTTACTGACAAAATCATATTTATGAGTGAAATGTTACAATGTTCTTCTTTATGATGTTTCAAAACGGTCACAAATTTTCCACCTATATCGACGCTTTAAAAAACAGTTTATACTTCCTTACTATCTTCTAATCACTTCTATTTTCAGTGTGTGGTATCTGCGGCAGGCAGTTTGGTACATTGAAAGGGTGGCGTATTCACGCTTCGAGAATGCATAAGCAGGATGGTAAGTACTTCTAAGCAGAATTTGCAATTAGTTTTTAAAAACATTAGCATATTTGATTTATCTAAATGTTGGCGGACTAATTCATTATGAATATTTCAGGTTTTTGCGCTCGTTGTGGCCATTACCTCCTGCTGCCACCCGGATTCACGGCCGCGCAAAAGAGAGCGGCGACAGAAGTTCACGCTCTCGATTGGTGCCCGAGAGCGTGTGCGGCCGTGATCAACGAAAGGCAGGTCAAGCGCCGCAGACTTGACTTAGTGGGGAGAGAAGAGGATGCCAACCACCTCTTCATTCCAGGTGAGAAATTATTAATATCTATTAATATCTAAGAAATTTGAAATTGAAAAGGAAATAAAAATTCGAATGTACAGAAAACAAAACATTCAGAAAGTGGATTTCATAGTTTTTCTAACCAGCAATTTTTCTTTCAGGCCAGTGATAACATCCGGCCCTCCTCACGCGGCTGACCTGCTACTGCCTGTCCCGGCTCTCCAGTCTTCTGCCCGAAGCAGGTTAGTATTGCGCTAAAAAAAAAATGAAAAGAATTTAAAAAAATAAAAAAAATCAAAAAAAAATAAAAAAAACAAAAAAATGAAAAAAAAATAAAAAAAAACAAAAAAAATCAAAAAAACTAAAAAAACAAAAAAAATTAAAAAAAAAAAAAAAAATTAACAAAATTAAAAAAATTAAAAAAAAATAAAAAATAAAAAAAATTAGTGAAAAAAATTTTTTTATAATTTACAATGTAAAAGCAACTGAATTCAGAGTTTGATAAAAAATTGTAAATTTTGTGAAAAAAAAATATGGAAAAATGGGCATGAAGCTCATTCATTTTATGCTAGCATGTGTTAATATTAATTGTTTGTAGTGGTATTTGAGAATCAAAAAGTTTGTGAAAGGGATTTCTTTTTCGTGGACAAAATTCGAAAATAGCTACTTTTAAATCAAACTTGATTGAATTCAGTTGTTTTTTTTTTTTTTTGTTTATCAGTTTTTATCTTGTTTTGTTCTATTTTTTAATTTGCCCTCTCTGGGCAACTAACTTTTTTAAAAGTTTATTGTTCTATTTTAATGTTTCTAATTTAACTATTACTATGAAAATTTTTGATGTTTATAATAATTTTCTAGTTATTACTAATGATTTTGTTTCTTTTTTTTTTTGAAATAATCTATGATTTTTTTTTCTGTTTTTCACATTTTATGTTACTTTATCTGTTATTTTTAAACTTTTTTATTACATATGTTTTTCATTTTTCTTCAATGTTATCTAATTCTTTCCTGTTAATTTTTCTGTTATTTTTTTCATTTTTCATCTAATTTATTATGAGTATTGGATACAACTTATATTTGATTTTGCGTTTCTTGTAATAAGTTTGTTGGTTATGTTTACTAATATCTTGATTGTTTATTTTGTCTTGTTAGAATATTTTAATATCATATTAGATATTAGATAGTTAATAGCAGCATTTTACATTTAAACATATTTTTTTGGAATTGAGTAATTTTTGAAGCTTTTTCTTACATTTTAACCTAATTTTTTGAATTATCGAATTAGAAAATAGTGGTATCATTGAATAATTTGATAATGTCTAGGTTTAATTTTTTTTGTTGAATTGCCATTTGGTACAATATTTTGTGGTAGAAGAGATCGAGAGTAGGTATAGGTAGAGTTATACCTACCCTCGATGTAACTTATGATTTAGTGTGTGAGGAAAATTTTGGAGCATTTGAAATTCTGAAAGAAATTTTAAATTCTTAAATCGTGAAGCTTTTTGAATTGGCTTTTAAATTCTAGATATGTTTTATTACTTATTGAATAATTTTAAAATTAGTAAAGTCTGAGATTTTTAAGAAATTTTGAAACTTCTCTAGGGATTTATTTTTTGTTCTCGTTGAGTTTTGAAAATTTCTGAGTTATTTAAATTTTAGTTTTTTTCTGATTTTTTTAAATTTTTAAATATTTGTGGGTTTTTATAATCTTTTTCATTTTCCCAATTTTCTATTCCCTTTTCAACATTTTAATTTTTGAAATATCTTGAAAATTATTGAAATTAGTCTGAATTATCGACTTTTGGGAGGTTTATTTAAAGGTTGAATTATTTGCTTTAATTTTGTTTTTTTTTTTTATCTTTTATAATTTCTATTTTTTTTAATTTCTTACTGGAATTGTTTTTGAATTTTTAGATCTTTAAATCTCTAATTATAATTTTGGATTTATTATTAAAAAGCATGCCGCATTTTTTTAGTTTTAACTAGTAACATATTTTTTATAAATTTTATTGTAGTTCTAGATGCCCCCGTTCATTTTTTATAGGTTTTGTTTTAGTTTTTTTTTACCTTCTTTTCGCATTTATTCCTCACTTGTACTTAATGCATGCTTTTCGCTAACTTTTTACTGTATAATACTTTATATTTTACTAAGGTAGTGATTTACACTCGTTGTAGTTTTACTAATTGCATGCTTTTTTAGTTAATTAAAATTATGTAATAGTATCTTACTAGCTTATATTAATAATTTCTTTTTTTGTTGTTGTATTAACTGCACGATCTTTTGTTAATTTTACTTCCTCCAACAACAATAATCTTTAAATGCTTTTTTGTTCTTGCATGCTTTTTTATTAATTTCGTTTTTGCATGAATTTGGCTAACTTTATTTACTGCATGCTTTCTGTTAACTTTACTATCCATTAATTGCATGCTTTTTGTTAATTTTAATGTTTATTAATTGCATGCTTTTTGTTATTTTGTTTATTAATTGCATGCTTTTTTTTAATTTTTTTTAATTTTGCTAATTTACTTCTGCATGCTTTTTGTTAACTTTACTATTTATTAATTGCAAGCTTTTTGTTAATTTTAATGTCTATTAACTGCATGCTTTTTGTTAACTTTACTATTTATTAATTGCATGCTTTTTGTTAATTTTAATTTTTATTAATTGCATGCTTATTCACTTTGATTACTTTTTTTTTACTTTGCATGCTTTTTATTAATTTTATTATTTGCATGACTTTTTTATTAATTTTGTTTTTGCATGATTTTGGCTAACTTTATTTACTGCATGCTTTCTGTTAACTTTACTATCTATTAATTGCATGCTTTTTTATTAATTTTGTTTTTGCATGAATTTTGGCTAACTTTATTTACTGCATGCTTTCTGTTAACTTTACTATTTATTAATTGCATGCTTTTTGTTAATTTTAATGTCTATTAACTGCATGCTTATTCACTTTGATTACCTTTTTTTTTACTTTGCATGCTTTTTGTTAATTTTAATGTTTATTAACTGCATGCTTATTCACTTTGATTACCTTTTTTTTACATTGCATGCTTTTTTATTAATTTTGTTTTTGCATGATTTTGGCTAACTTTACTTACTGCATGTTTTCTGTTAACTTTACTGTTTATTAATTGCATGCTTTTTGTTAATTTTAATGTTTATTAACTGCATGCTTATTCACTTTGATTACCTTTTTCTTTTTACCTAGCATGCTTTTTGTTAATTTTATTTTTGCATGAATTTTGGCTAACATTACTTACTGCATGCTTTCTGTTAACTTTACTATTTATTAATTGCATGCTTTTTTGTTAATTTTAATGTTTATTAATTCCATGCTTTTTTATTAATTTTGTTTTTGCATGAATTTTGGCTAGCTTTACTCACTGCATGCTTGTTATCCACTTTGATGACCTTTTTTTAACTATTTAGTTCATTTTTGTTAATATTAAAGCATGCTTTTTTGTTAACTTTGATCACTTTCTTTTTAACTACTTAGTTCGTTTTTGTCAATATTAATGCATGCATTTTTTTTAGACTACTTCTACATTTACTTTCACTTATTGCATGCTTTCTCTTAGCTTTACCACTTATTAATTGCATGCTTTTTTATTTATAGCTGATATTATCAATTCGACTAGTTGTTTGCAGTATGGAATTCGTTATCAGTATTTATGGAAGTATATGTTATCGTCAGAGTTTACTGTGCAGTATCCGAACTTGCTAAAAGAGATTTGTCATTCTCTCCTGGTAAATTTATTTATTAGCAATTATTAATGAAAGTAGATTTTTTTTTTTTGAAAGTAGATTTTAAAAAATAATAAAAAAAGCAAAATTACTAGTAGTAAGATTTTTAAAAAATTGAACTTAAATATGAAATTGAACTTTTTAAACCTTAGCATTGACTTGAAGACATTAACAGTCCTCAAAAGAGGTACACACTAATTAAGTGGAACGAAGTGAATTAAAATTGGTTAATTATTGAAATGCTGATTTTAATTAACTGAATCCACGATAAATTTCAGTGAAGCAAGTTGCATAATGAAACATAGTGATGATGTTTGGTGAACCAGTAGTGCTCCTCAACGTCAACAAATGTAAATTAGGTTAAAAGAATATTTAAATTATTAGTGATTATTCCATTTAAAACTTCACTGCCGATAGTATTTATTAATTGCTTGAAATTAATTAATGTTGATTGGTCTAACTTAAGAAATGTGAAATAAATCATTCCAATCGAATCATGTGAGATACGTAGTTTGACTTTTAGATTTTAGATCTATCCTTATTTTATTTGTTAAATTACTCCATATCTATTCTTTGAATGTTTTAAAAAAGAAGAAATTTAGAGGCAAAGCGGCAAGGGATTTTTATAGCTATCAAGAGTGAAACGGCGTTTAACATGATCGTGTCACATGACCTTATTGCAATAACATCAATTATTTCTTCTGATTAACTGAAAGTAAGTTACTTTAAGTATTTTCTGAAATGAGTGATAAAATAAATACTAAAAATTATGAAGCAGAAAAAAAAAATTATTTTCTAAGGAATGATTTTTAAAATTAATTTATATGTCAAATAGATAGATGTGATGAAATGATTTTGCTGATTAAATCAATTTTATAAGGAAGAGAGCAATCTGCAAATCTTCAAAAGTAACCTGAATGTGACCTTCATTTATCGATCAGCAACGTGAAATCAAACGTGCCACCTGTGCGTCAGGAGACTTAATCATCACAATTATAATCAATTTGGTTCATATTAGTACTTTCAAAAATGAAAATTATTCACAGCGAATATTTATGAATAGAAAGAAGTTACAGATATTAACAAATTCAATGATCATTGATCAATTGAATAGTTTGTATTCGAGTAAGCAAGTAAAAGTTTGTATTCGAGTGAAAAAATTAGCAAAAATTGAGAATACAAATTGGTTTTATTAATTGTATTTAGTAATACCAAATTACTTAATTATTAATCTTTTATCACTGTTTTTATGCACTTTGCAATAATTAATGGCAAACAAGAAATAAAAATTATCATCCAGTATGAATTAGTGATTAGTGATAAGATATGGCTAATTAAGACATATCGCGAGAGAGAGAGAAGAGAGATTTGATAGGATGTATAAGTGAAAGAATTATGATGAGTGAATAATTAATAAAGAAAAGATTAATTAATTCAATCAATGATCAATTTGTTTGAATGTTTTTTCTTCCCAAAGCTATTCTTTTTTATTTTTTTCAGTATAACAACAACAACAACAACATCTTTCCTTTTTCATAATCCTATCTAAGTAATTGAAAAAATTAACTACTTAATTAAGCAGCATTTTTTTTTCTAAACGAAACAAACAACATTTGTTTAATGTTTAATTATTATTTGAACCAATTTGAGACTTTGAAATTTTTCAGATAAACAAGAAAGATTGAATCTTGCAGGAAATATCCAAGTTTTCGTACAACATACAATTGTCAAATGGCCTATATTATTTTACTTAATTGTATATGACTGTGCTTAGATTTGATGGCGTACTCTTTTTCTTTCGAGAAATTTTGCTAAATACAATTAATAAAATCAATTTCTACTTTTATTTGTTGATATGCTTTGGAAATTTTTAAAATTATTCGAAAAAAAAAAATGAAATGAAATAATAACAATAATTTATAAACATAGAATGATTAAAATTATGAAATAAAAATAGCATTTTTTGTCATTTTTTTTTTTTCGGATAGCCGCTGCTTATGCAAAAACATAAGACTTATCAGGTTAGGTATTTTGAGAAGTATCGATGCTGCTTTTGGTACTATTAGTGCATATTTGTATTCTCTTGTCGAAAGTCATTCCTTGGCAAGGAAATTCGGATTAATTAGCTTGATTGTATCGCTTCAGAAAGTAATTTAATCCGGTTTTATTATAATGATAAATGTGGGAAATCTCAGAGAATTTTATCCTAAATTAGTTTATGGAATTTTTTAGAGCTATTGGTACGTATTGTATAGAGTTTATAGTTGAACTGCTCTGCTCAATTTTTTTTTCTTTTTTTTTTTGCTGGCCAATAAATGCCAACTATCTAAAATGTACCAATATCAAATTACCAGTCACGGTGTAAAAAAAATTGAAAATGAAAATCAAGTTTAAGAAATTTGAAATTTTATTCGATATAACTTTTTTTTTTCTTCGTGGCTCAACATTTGGCTCATTTGACATATTTGCATTGTTTCTATTTGATTACTTGGCTAACCATTTGTATAGATTGTTTCATTTAATTTTAGAGAAAATACTTTCTGTATTTTATTCATCCGATCACATAATAAAATTAAATGAAACAATCTAAAATTATTCTCCTTTTTCAACAATTCGATTTAATTTCATAATTCAATTTTCTTGTTTTTTCTGGATGAATTTAAATGACAATTATAATTCTTTTCTTATACCTATTATTTTATGGCAAATTTAGAACCTTTTTATAGAAATGATTGTTGATAAACGTTTTTACAAATTAGTTGATAAATAGTTGATAAACGTTTTTACAAACTTCATTTAGTAGAAAGAATTCTTCCACTGAATTTAAAATAAAATTTATGAAAAATTATAAATCATTATGAATTTTTAATTCTACGTTGTTAAATTAAACGTTGCAAATCAATCACACTTCCTCATTGCAATAATTTTATTTACCATAAAATTTGTACTGTAGTATAAATAATGGAAGATGGAATAACTGAAATATTTAAAACATTCATTTCAAAGAATTATCTGCGATCATTGTAATCGACAGCGTATTGAAGAATTAATTAATTAATTAATTAGTGCATCTGTGATAATATTTTGCAAATAATCTCTGGAATTAAACTTTTACAGAATGAATAAATTTTTAATTAATGAAATATTTCGCTGTATTATAAAAATTATTTTAGTATAAATGAAATTCTGAAAGCAAAATTATTTATTTACAATATACGAATGATACGATGCAATGCGATATAATCGGACATATTCTGATTATACGTTGAAATTAATTTCGGCTTTCTTTTTTGTCCAAAAATTTTAAGCTCTGTTATTTTTGAAGACTTTTGCTACTGTTAGCTTAAGCAATGTTTGATTAATCTCATTAAGTTCAATAAAGAGTATCACAAATGAAAAAATTAAAAATTAGAAATTTACAGTAGCATTGAAATCAACTCTTCAACAAAATCTCGAATGTGTATGAAGTTTATTTCTTGCAATAATTTTAATATTAAATAAAAATAAGGTATATACTTAGAAAATATTTTCTATTTTAGTTGCTAATTCTGAGATTAATTTTTTGGAAAATTATTAAATTACATACTCTGATGAATACTTCATTAGTTACTCCTAAATAATGGAATTATGCATTTTTCCAATAAAGAAAAATGAAAAAAAAAAAAATTTGCTGTAAGAAACTATAAATAAAACTAAAATTATTACTATAAACCAAGGATATCATAAAATTTCTGTGAGAAATAAAACATATAAAATGCATAAAGATTACTCATCAAAGAAATCTAAAGAAAACAATAACAAATCCAAGAATTTTAGATCCAAAAGTATAAGCCTTTGTTAGAAAACTTTTTTTTGGTTGTGACTTGGAGTTAGTATAAACGAATCTGTTGCGAATGAATCTATTTTTATAATTTTTATTCGTTAACAACAATTACACATAAAATTCTTTAGTAGTTTAAACACTTAATTGAATTGAAATTTGCAAATAACAGATCTTATTTTTAAGTTCTATATACAATAACTAATACTAATTGCAACATTTTCTTAATTCAAAAGTTTAAATTTGAATTAAAATTTATTTTTAATTGCGAAAACGATTTAAAACTATCACTGTTTAAAAATTTAATCAATTTTAATGCTGAAATAATGTTTAAAACTCAATTATTAAAGTTTAATTTAATATTTGAGTTGAAAAATGACCACACAGAGTGTGACCAGTGCCCATACAGAGCATAGAAAATGATCAATTAAGTTCAAATTATGTCTTTTTTCTAATTAAATTATATTTTTTAGTAGTTTAAACACTTAATTAAATTGAAATTTGCTAATACCAGAGTTTATTTGTTTATTTTTTCTATTTACAGATTTTACCATAAAACATTTGAACAAGTAAGTGTCGTTACAAACGAAAGAAGAAAGTTCTAAAAAATAACGTAGAGCTAATGAATGATTTTCTGATGAAACCTTACTCAGTTAGTTCTTTTTTTTTTAATTTTATGATAGGATAATAATTAATTAAAGTTTATTTTCAGTTGTAAAAAGGAAAGATGGGACATTATCAAAGTAATATACTGAAGAGGTAAAAAGTACTTATCAAAGTACTGAAATAAATACAAGACGAAAACAAATTGCTGAAATGATATAAATGCAATTGATAATTCAATATCATGTTGATATAATTAAAAAAAAATTCGCAAATAATGAAAAGATTTTAAGATCCACAATCTCTCTCTCTCTCTCTTTATTTTCTCTCAAAAACTCTCTCTATTTAGCTCTCCAAGTGATTCTTGCTGGTAAAGTTAGCAAATATCCGTGATCATAAATGTAAATTCGCTTATCATAAGGATTATATGATATCATATTAGCATTTCGGTATAAATTAATCCAATGAATATTTGGTTTACGATATTTGTTACGATAGAGATCATATGCAATTGCTATTTCACTTTTTAAATCATATGAACTTCTTACCTGCAAAAAAAAGTTTTAAATGAAAAATGCTACTAATGGTTATATTTCATTATCAAAGTCTTCAAATATTAGCTTACCATTCTTCCATTTTCAACAATAATTCGCGAAAAAAAAAAAAAAAAAAAAAAAAACAAACAATTTTAATATAAAATTTAAACAAACCAAATACAGTACGCCACATACGACAAAACCATTCGCCACTTCGGTATGATTAATCAAAGTTAAATTCCAAGTTTCATAGATTGTTAAATTGCTAATGTCTAATTTAGCCACTGATAAGTACTCTTCATCCTCATAATGAAACAGTACCCATAAAGCATTCTCATCTACAGCCAAATCGAAATAATTCATCGATAAGTTAAATAAGTACTAGAAATTTTTCATATTAAATTTCTCAAATTTTAAAAAATACTGTGAAAAAATTTTATAAAAAGTTTGAGAAAATTTTTTGAAAAATACCCATAGATTTTTTTTAAATGAAAGTAACTTACATTATTTCCTTTATGCGCTGCATGCTTATCAATTAGCACTTCATTATAATCCTTTGAACTTAACTCATATTTGCCAATTTTAGGAGTGCCAGCACGATGGAAATATATTGAGCCATTGAAAAATATCAAATTTGTTCCATCATATAGATAAGGCATATGATGACTAAAATTTAAATTAGATAAATTAATTTAATTATTTCTAACAATTCTCCAAAAATCAATTTATTTTTGGGTAAAGAAATCTTTATTCTAAATTATTTTTTGAAACTTTTCCAAGTAGCTCGTAGCGTTGAACGTACTTATATCAATATATTTTGACCTAAAGTTAATCAAAAAGTCAATGATACACTTATTTTTTTTTTTTTTTGTATTTTAACATATTATTATTTATTCTCCTTCTTCTTCTTCTTTTTATTATTATTATGTTGTATGGATTCAAATATGAGTCACAAACTAACGTGACAAAAGCTCGTTGCCTTCGCATGTCACCTTCGTCTAAATATTCCTCCACTGTGTCACCTTGAAAATGTTTTGTCATCCAACGTTTCATCATATCCTTTAATCGAATTATTTGTTGTATTAAGAAAAATTATGTTTTAATTATTCAATGATTTTTTTTTTTCATATTTTAATTAGCCAATGATATATTTTAAAAAGTATGTTCAATTCATAGTAAAGGAAAAAAAAAATCAGAGAAGTCAATCAATAAATTATTTCTTCCAATATTACCATTGTTTTTTGAAATTTTTTTTTTTTTTTGAAAGCAAAGTGCTAGCATACTTTTCCATTTTGTGGATAAGCATCACGCATCCATGATCCGAAATAAGTATTAGAATGAGCATGAAATATTGGTTTACCAACATCATCCAAGTAACAATCTATAATTGAAAATTTTTAAAATAAGTAATAAAGTGAATATCGTAGTACCAAAAATGAGAAATTGCAATAATTTCAATGCTGAAAAGTTAAAAATTTTTGCATAAAATAAAATTTACGAGCTGTTGCTCCTTCGATGTACGGTATTTCGGTGCTGGTTGGTGGAATATCTATATCAGATGGTATTGTTATATTTGGTAGACAAATGCGAATACATTTGTCAATTTCCGGTAACACATCGGTATCATTTAGAAGTATCTGTTAAAATAATATCTTACTTTTAAGACATAAGTTAATAATCTTTCAATATTATCATCCATTTCTGAAATTTTTCTTTTCAAATTAATTAAGAAATGAAAAAAAGATAAATGATAGAACAATTGACCCTAACAAAATATGGTAATTGACGTTCAGCGTATCGTGTTCTGCCTTCATCGTCAACTGTTATCTGTGTTGGACATTGCATTGGTTCAACTTTTGGACATTCCGTTTTACGAAGCATTTCAAAATTCTCAGCAACTGGACATTTTGGACAAATTCCGGGTTTTCCGGGAATACCAGGAGGCCCTACAATTTTCAAACTTCAAAAAAAAAATTTTTTTTCTTGCACTTTTATAAGGTATCAAGTATAATGCAAATATATATCGAATATTGTCAAGTAAATGCTTAGAAGCAGAAAAAAAACAATTACCTTGTGGACCCGGAGGTCCAGGTATTCCAATTAGACCTTCTTGTCCGGGTAGTCCAGGCTTTCCAGGACTTCTAGAAATTATGCAAATTTCACTGCTGTGAGTGAAATTTCATCGTTAGAATTTAATTTGTAAATGTAACATACCCAGGTAGCCCTGGTGGTCCAATTGGACCAGGCGGTCCACGATCAATACCAGATTTTTCCGTACAATACTGATGTATTTCCAAGCATTTTTCAAGCAATTCATTAGCCTGATGAAGCAAATTAATTTGCATATTTTAAAAAATTCTCTCATAAAATTCAAAAACAATAGAATTCTTTCTTCTTTCTTTTTTTTTTTTTTTTTTTTGAATACCGATATTATAGGATAAATTAAAATCTAGTGAAATTTAAATTTAAAAATGAATGCATTTGATATGTTCAAGTTTATTCTGAAACCTTAATTTTTGACAATGAATGCATCAAAACTTCATCTTTTGATGTATTCAACAGAGTTTGAACGGAATGTAATGATGCAGTGGCACGTCGATTACGTCTTGAAATTATTTCATCTTTTATTAACCAACAATTTGTTTTCATCTCACCGATACGTGAGTAAATATCAGCAAATGCTAGTAAAGTTAACAATATGCAAATTGTCTGACAATATTCCAGGTAACGCACTTTTTTCAAATTCCTTTCATCATCCGACATTTTAATGAAGCCTATAAAATTGTACAAAAATTTTCCTTCATTTATTTCACGAATAAAAATGAGGCAAATATGCTGCGAGAAAATTTTACATTCAAACTAATTTATAATTAATAATTATTGAAGTATTTGTCGAACTACTAAGCTGGAAAAGATAGAATAAATTAATAAATTTATTTCTAACAATTGCTTCTTTAACCTTTACCTGATAATCATTGTTGTATAATAAAATGTAGAAGTAATGAAGTTCATATAGCAGTTATTGAAAAAATAATAGATAATAGATGTAACATAATACTAACGATTGCAAGACATATTGTTTATTAAGTTACTCCTACCCGTAATATAAACAATTTGATGTGAAATGAATTATTTCAATTCTAATCCTTTTACGTTTTCATTTCAAACTACTAACTGTTAATATATTATTTCAAAGTAAGCAAACAATAGATGGTAGTTATTAATAAAAGTCCTTTCTTAGAGTAACGAATAGCGAAATGTTCTGAATGATAATCGTAACAATTTTGGATTACTTATTTCATTTTCAATGCATAAAACTTGCAGCTCGTTTATCACTATCAGTGATTATCAGTATGAGACTTTATTTCTTCTTCGAAACTTATTTCTTCTTACTTTTCATTCCTATTTTTAAACGGCTTTTCCTAAATTTTTTTCTGGATGAAAATTTTTAGTGTAATAAATATTCGAATTCCTAATATTTTATCATTGATAATTAAATGTGTCAGTGATAAATATTTTTATACATTTGAAAAGTTATGAAGTAATATTAAATTTTAAGGTGCTAATATTTTAAATCAAAAAATTTATTCCAATAAAGCAAATAACCAAGCACCAAACAGTATGAATGATTTATATATTTATACAATAACGAACAGGAGTGAAATAATATTGTAGTTTAAAACTGATCTCAAAAATTAAAAAAAAAAAAAAAGTAAAATTCAAATTAAAGAAAAAAGGAAAAGTTGCATGAAGAAAGACATTAGAGTAATTGAGAATAAGTGAAAATGAATCAGCAGTTTTAATTGGTAATGTAAAGCAAAAGATCAAATCACATAATTGCAGGAAGAACTAATCATTTCTATCTGATTTATACTAAAGAACAAAACAAAATGCATTTAGTCTTTAAATATTCAAAATTATTAATCGATTTAAAATAGCTCTTTAAAAAAGAAAAAAAAAAAAAAAAAAAAACATCGAAACTATTGAATGGCAAAATAATTTTTATACCATAGATGGTATTCTTACTAAATTAAATAATAGCAAACGAAAGCCTCTAGAAATATTATGGTTCAGAATTTAGAAAAACGGTAATTTATTCAATAATGCACCGGAATTTTTATTAAAGAAAAAAACGAGCTAGTCTTGCGATATTAGAAAACTGTTATCAGTTCGTATAAGATATGATGCTAATAGAGTTTATTTAAAATAGAACAAGAAACATATTTTTTTTTTCTTTTAAAATCACAGTCTTTGTCGACTGCTAAGTAATTTCAAGTGTTTTTCAAAGTCATGACTTGAAGCAATAATTGTTTTATTAAGCCATCTTTCCACTTCAGAATTACTCCTAATAAATGTATCTTTATATTGCCAATTTGATGAAACTGTATCAAAACTGGTACAAAATGAAAGATTGAAATTATGCGATACTAACGGCGATGGCCAACCAGCAAACACAATCCGATTAATTCGTCTGAAATAAATGATTTGATTGGATCAAAAGAAAATATTAATTATATTGAAGATAATTCTATGAGTAGAACAATAATGTGTTATTATCGAAGTAAATTTGAATCATTTATTCAGGAAAGTTAAAGATTTATATAACTAACCGTTTTTGCCAACCGTGCAGGATGAAATCTCGTTCACTCCACATCGAATCAGTAATCCAAGTATCACGAGCCCATGCTTCACCTTTTGGAAGAATTCGCAATTGATTTGGCCAGATTGTTGCTTCATCAGTAATATTTCGAACGCAAGCTACATAAAGACTTAAATCATCAAAATTCCTGTAACATTGCTGGATATAAAATTTGAAATGAGAAGAAAGAATTCCTTTTTCAAAGTATATTATTAACATTCCCATATTTTCTAATATTTGATGAAATTTTGTTAAATTTTATGTCTACCATAAAGGTTAATCATCATTTATTTGACAATGAACATATACAAAGTAAATAAAACTTGGAAAAGATTAATCAGTTAATAAGCTTGAAGTGATGGACAAAAAGACTCTCTCTCTCTCTCTGATTTATCATTTCAATAAGTCAACTTATACTAAATTAAATTTAATTTAATGCATATAATTGGCATAAGTTACTCAGTTGTTTAATTCTACGTTAGGAATTACGTATTGTCTGGATTTTTGAAACTAGATGCTATGTTTTCAATGTAACTATCATCTAGCAAGAGATGGATAAAATAATGATTTATTATTTCAAGAATTCAAGGAATATATTAAAGTTACGAACTTTGCTTCCATCCAAACGCTTTCACAAAATTTTCTTTCACTGACTTTTTCAGGAAATATAAGTTCGAGCAAAACATTCTGCAACGTCAAATTTTACAGATTAGAATGAGCAATAAGAATTGAATCGATTTATCTTATCAATCATCCCGATCATATTTATATTTTAGTTTGATGTGATAAGCTTTGAAGTATGTCTTTTTTATCAAAAGTGAATCATTCAACAGAAATATATTATGGAAAAATAAATAAAATATAAATAGACAATGTTTTATAAGTTATTACTAATTTAAGGTAAAGGAAAAAAGAAAAAAAAAAAAAAAAAAAACTAAATAAAACTATTCTGAAAAGTACGAAAATGAAATTGAAGTCAAAATGAATAGCTACAATAACTAGCGCAAAGATGCAAATGTTTTTAACAAATAATTAATTAATTTACATGAATTGCGCCATTATCTGACCCAAAGGCTGGAAATTGCAATTGTGGTTCATAATTTGCCCAAAATTGAAGAAATTTCTGAGAATATGGAGTATTCCTGCAAATTAGTTAGATTCAGAAAGAAAAACTGATTTCAAGATTTCCAATAAGCGAGATTAGCGGGATCCTGTAATAATATTAAATTTTAGACGCTCCAAGTAATGTACAATTTACTTTAATGATTCAATTTCTTTCAGTTAATTGAATAATTCAAAATGGAATTAGATTTTGTTCACTGAGATTGACTACTTTGTCAAGTGATAATAAAATGACAATAAAAGTATTCTCATTGTACATTATCAAATGACAAAAAAAAAAAAAAACTTAAAAAAAAAGCAAGTCAAAATAAAAAATTTTCGTAATTTCTCAATTCCAAAATAGTTAATCTGATAATGTGATAAGTATGAAAAAATGATTACAGCTAACTTTGCTAAATAACTCCCAGCCATTACTTCGTGATTGAAAATTCGATTGTATAAGATGAGATTTACACTATTATCAATCCATTCTTCGATCAAATGATTAGGATTAATAACTCCCATATCAGCATCAATAAATAGAAACCATTGAATATCATTTGCTTCTTTCATTATTTCTGCTGTGACACAGTGTCGGGCAAACATGAACTAAAATTATTAGGTCATTGTTGTAATTTTTTTCTTGATAAAAATGAATTTTTCTTCATGAAACATTTGATTTTTTTTAATCTAATGAATATTTCTCTAACAAAGTGCCTTTTTGAATTGATATTCAAAGTTAGCCTATAGGAATTAAAAATAAAAATAAAAACATAATGAAAAAAGAAAAAAAACAGGGCGGTAAATGACAAAAGAAATTAAAAAATCATGTTCCTTCCAATTTTCCCTCCTACTATCATTCTCTTAATCATCTTTGTTTGCCGATTCTTTTATGTAAATATAAATACAGTATGGAATGTTACTGATTATTTAGTAAAATAATCACTTAACAAATCGATCGCTTATTCTCGAAGTATTTTTATTCTTTTAATATTTTTGATTTATTTGCTATTAATGTAAGCAATTATTGTTGTTAAGTAAGGATTATAAATAAAGAACAAATAAGATTTTTAGTAAATTACCGATTAAGAACAAATTCCAATTATGATTATTTAAATATATGTCATTTGAAGCATTTTGATATTTCATAAGCTAAACTGAATTCTTCTTTAACTTCATGTTAGCATTTCGATATTTCATAAGCTAAGTTTAATTCATCACTACATCTTTACAATCATTTTCTTCTTCGTTTTCCAAATCTATTGTAACTATTATTTGTTATCTTATCATCATATTAATCATTAGTATTCATGATTAGAAAGACGATAACAACGATTGATTATCACAATACTAACGAATAGTAATCATTTTGAAAGAAGAAAAGAATTAATTACATCTTCGTGAGGACATAATCTTTGTAGCGTATCATTTGCCGACAAATCAATAACAATCCATTTGTAATTATGATATAATGCATAACATTCGAAGCTTTCCTGAGCTAAACGATATTCATCGTAATTACTGCGATTTAGTAGGACAGTAATTATTGCTATCGAAATCAACTTTTGGTCTGAAATTTTCTGATCAGTTCCTCAGATTATAGTACTAATTTGATCTAAAAATTTTTTTACCATTAAGAATAAATATATATATATAAATAATTGTTACTTTCCGATAACACTGGTAGTAATTATTGGAGCAATTGTTATTATAACTATCCAAATTAGTGTAGGCAAAATTCAAAATTTTAAAAAAGATTTAAGTTTTAGAATTTGTCACTGTATGAATTCAAATTTTTGCGCTTTTTTTTGCGAAATTTGATCATATGAACGAGAAATATCTAGTATGCATGATAAAATTAGAAATTTTACTTCTTGATTTCGAGAAAGAAAAGATTTGGAAGTGATCAAAATCATTGTTCTTAAAATTCGAAAATGCATTCCCTTACTTTTGCACTATTATTTGTGAAGTAAGTTTAAAAGAATGACTGTTCAGTCTAATTTATATATTTAAAGGATACATCAAAAACTAGCAGAGTTTTTCTAAGTTGTAAAGCATTAAACCAAAAATTTTCGAGAATTTAATCAATCCTAGGAAATATCATCAAACATATTCAAAATCAAAAACAACGAAAAAAGAAACAAAAAACGGTCAGAAAATCATTTACCTTCAGATCTTCTAACAGTAATATTACGAATAACTGTGGTACCATAATAATTCTTGTATAAATAGTAAATGGTCACATAGATTTCTTCATAAATGACAAATGTGACAAAGAAAGAAATGAATAGGACACCCCATATTCTTCTTCGTCTTCGCATTCGACGACTGCAATTTGTTTTTCTAAATTATTTGAAGTATATGCACTTCTTCCTTTTCTTTTTTTTTTTTTTTTTTTCACCAACGGCTAGCCTTCGTTTTGGGACCTTCTTTGAATTGTTAAATTTTAATTTCCATATTTTTGATCAAATATTCAATTTTTGAAAAGAAATTTTTTTTTTTTTTTTTTGCGTTCAAGAATTTATTAAAATAAAGTCAAATAGTATTAAAGCTAAATTTTAAGAAAGATCAAAGTTCAATATAGAAGAATGAATATAACTAGCATAAGCAAACACTGGAAGTAATCGTTAAATTGATTATTTACTTCTAGCTTCTGCACTGAAACATTATTTGACTATACTTTTATTGACATTGTCGTTATTATCGATTACCTCTGTTGACATTCTTATTATTATCGATTACCTTTGTTGACATTCTTGTCATTATCGACTACTTTTGTTGACATTCTTGTTATTATCGACTACTTTTATTGACGTTCTTGTCATTATCGATTACCTTTGTTGACGTTCTTGTTATTATCGATTACTTTTATTGACGTTCTTGTTATTATCGACTTCTTTTGTTGACGTTCTTGCTATTATCGATTACCTTTGTTGACATTCTTTTATTATCGATTACCTTTGTTGACATTCCTGTTATTATCGATTACCTTTGTTGACATTTTTGTTATTGTCGATTACCTTTGTTGACGTTCTTGTTATTATCGATTACTTTTGTTGACGTTCTTATTATTATCGACTTTTATTAACATTCTTGTTATTATCGATTACTTTTATTGACGTTCTTGCCGTTATCGATTACCTTTGTTGACGTTCTTGTTATTATCGATTACTTTTGTTGACGTTCTTATTATTATCGATTACCTTTGTTGACATTCTTGTTATTATCGATTACTTTTATTGACGTTCTTGCCATTATCGATTACCTTTGTTGACATTCTTGTTATTATCGACTGCTTTTGTTGACGTTCTTGCCATTATCGACTACTTTTATTAACATTCTTGTTATTATCGATTACTTTTATTAACATTCTTGTTATTATCGACTGCTTTTGTTGACGTTCTTGCCATTATCGATTACCTTTGTTGACATTCTTGTTATTATCGACTACTTTTATTGACGTTCTTGTCATTATCGATTACCTTTGTTGACGTTCTTGTTATTATCGATTACTTTTATTGACGTTCTTGTTATTATCGACTTCTTTTGTTGACGTTCTTGCCATTATCGATTACCTTTGTTGACATTCTTGTTATTATCGATTACTTTTATTGACATTCTTGTTATTATCGATTACTTTTATTGACGTTCTTGCCATTATCGATTACCTTTGTTGACATTCTTGTTATTATCGACTATTTTTGTTGACGTTCTTGCCATTATCGATTACCTTTGTTGACGTTCTTGTTATTATCGATTACCTTTGTTGACATTCTTGTTATTATCGACTGCTTTTGTTGACGTTCTTGCCATTATCGATTACCTTTGTTGACGTTCTTGTTATTATCGATTACTTTTATTAACATTCTTGTTATTATCGACTGCTTTTGTTGACGTTCTTGTCATTATCGATTACCTTTGTTGACGTTCTTGTTATTATCGATTACTTTTATTAACATTCTTGTTATTATCGACTGCTTTTGTTGACGTTCTTGCCATTATCGATTACCTTTGTTGACATTCTTGTTATTATCGATTACTTTTATTGACGTTCTTGCCATTATCGATTACCCTTGTTGACGTTCTTGTTATTATCGATTACTTTTATTGACGTTCTTGTTATTATCGACTTCTTTTGTTGACGTTCTTGCTATTATCGATTACCTTTGTTGACATTCTTGTTATTATCGATTACTTTTATTGACGTTCTTGCCATTATCGATTACCTTTGTTGACGTTCTTGTTATTATCGATTACTTTTATTGACGTTCTTGTTATTATCGACTTCTTTTGTTGACGTTCTTGCTATTATCGATTACCTTTGTTGACATTCTTTTATTATCGATTACCTTTGTTGACATTCCTGTTATTATCGATTACCTTTGTTGACATTTTTGTTATTGTCGATTACCTTTGTTGACGTTCTTGTTATTATCGATTACTTTTGTTGACGTTCTTATTATTATCGACTACTTTTATTAACATTCTTGTTATTATCGATTACTTTTATTGACGTTCTTGCCATTATCGACTTTGTTGACGTTCTTGTTATTATCGATTACTTTTGTTGACGTTCTTATTATTATCGATTACCTTTGTTGACATTCTTGTTATTATCGATTACTTTTATTGACGTTCTTGCCATTATCGATTACCTTTGTTGACATTCTTGTTATTATCGACTGCTTTTGTTGACGTTCTTGCCATTATCGATTACCTTTGTTGACATTCTTGTTATTATCGATTACTTTTATTGACGTTCTTGCCATTATCGATTACCTTTGTTGACATTCTTGTTATTATCGACTATTTTTGTTGACATTCTTGTTATTAACTGCTTTGTTGAAATTATAGTTTCTTACTAACCTTTTTTTGCATGCTTTGAATTGAATTATTCCAATCCTAATTGATATTATTGTCAAACTTTCATTTTTAGTATAAATAATACCCAAAATAATTTTTTTTCTTTTTTTTTTTCGGAATCTTTTTTTTCTTCTTGTCGATTCTTTTTCTCTTTTTTCCTTACAGTTATGGATAAAAAGAATGAATGAGTTCACTACAGGAAACACTGCATTAAAAGTTCATTTTGAATCATTCAATAGAAATTAATTTTTATATTCGAATTAGAATTTTTTGGAATAAAGTTTTGATTTTAATGTAAAAATTTTTGATTTTTGTAGAATTTTTCAAATTTTACCATTCTCTGCTTATTTCTTATCATTTTCTAGACTACATAATTGTTGTAGAAATTTAATTGTTCGCTTTGAGATTATGCGAGGATTTACACTAACATTTACGTTTAGTATCAAAAAAAAAAAAAATTTCCACGTGAAATTTCACGCTAGAATCTCTTTGAAATGGGAAGCGTACTCTCATTTTCTTCAATTTTAGCTTCAATACCAAGAATTAAGATTGAAGACTAAATTTTCTTCTTTTATCCAATCATTCATTATATTCATTTGTTTTTCTCCTTTTTTCTCATCTTTTTCCTTTTTGCTTTTCCCACTTTTAACTTTTAATTTGATATACAAATTTTAAATTTGATAATCTTTCTCTTTTATACTTTTCAAATCAAATTTTAGCACATTTTCTTCAATATTACTAATATTTCATATTAATATTAAATTCTGGCAGTTTCTTCTTTTTTTTTTTTTTTTTTTTTCTAAAGTAATAACAAATAATAAAAATTGCTTGAGAAAAAGAAAAAAAGATTTTTTATTATTATTATTATAAAGAACAGTGTAAAAATTTTCGACTGTACTGATTCCATTATATACAATAGAATAGTTTAATGGAGGAAAGAAAAAAAAAAAATGGAAAATTTAAAATCATCTGAAGCTTATAATAAGTGATACATCAAAATTTGAGAAAATTCCTGAACTTTTGTTGTTTACAAATTTTTCTTCGAAATTGAAAATTTCAAAGTATAACGATAAAATTAATTTTTTTTTTTTTAACGACGAAAGAAGCCACTAATTGAAAGCAGGATTAATTCCAAATTTCCGAGTACACCGGAATGAGTTATTGATTAATTCTGATACTGATCGACTCGAGCAATATATATTTGTGGAACGGATAGAAGAAATGATCAAACGTTGAAAGGTATCAATTAAAAATGCCAATACCAAATGCAAATGATAAACAGTTGAGCTACTAGTTCCAATATTAATAGTTTTTGTTCTTAGAATCTCAATTATACGAGGAAATGACAGATTAAAATAACAGGAAGGGATCGATCAGGAAATAATTATTAGCATTATCAAATTGAATTTTAAAAAACAAAATTTTTTCCCATGAAATTTGATCGCCAGCCATGAATTTAATATACACTTTGGTTAAAAAAAAAAAAAAAAAAAAGAAAAAAAGTAGGAGAAATAAAACAAAGTAGCTAAATGTTTTAAATGAAAGAAGTTGAAAAGAAATTGGGCTTTTTTGAAAATTCTGAAATTTTTGCAGAAAATAGGTTTGCTTATTTTGGTTTAGCTTCATATATTTGCCTATCCAACTTTGGAAATAGTCAAAAATTTAAATTTAATTTATTTAATTTGCTTTTAATCTATAGCTCAATGTGATTTTCAATTTTCACTTCTATTTTTGTTGATTATTTTTCAATTTTATAAAAGGATAGATAGCATCATGAATTTGATTTAGAAAGGGATGCAAGATGAGGAAGAAAATATAAAAATTTTTAAAACTAACAGTTTCAACGGCAGATAAACAAGATCATTGGAATTCAAAAAATAGTTTAGGGCCATGGCAGGCATTTTAATACTAATATTTTAAAAAAAAGAAACAAACAAAACGAACTTATGTAAGGATCGCGAAAGAAAATTGGTCGAAAGTTTATATCTGGTAGATACACTGCAAACAAAAAAAAAAAAAAAATTCAAAAAAAAATTTGAATTTCATTTATTTTTCTGCTATTACTTCTAATTAAAAATTATCAAACTTTCGTTTGTTTATTTCTCATCTATGTTTTTCTTTTTTTTTCTGTCAATGAAAAATTTAAACTAATTGATTGAAATTTAAATTGAAAAAATTTCATGTAGCAGCAGAAAAATAATTTTTTTCGAATGCAAAGATTTTCGTGAAACAACAAGAGAACAATAATAAATAACCATTTGATTCAGCAAAGAAAAAAAAAAAAGTGAAAATGAAAGAACAAACAACTAATTAATGTAATATTTTGTTTCCTGTGGAAATTTTATTGAAATGATGAAAATTCAAAAACTTTTGCAATCATCAGAAAACAAAATAAGCCTGGCCATGGCAAATATGACTTAATGTTAGTATTATTTGTCATACATATAATTCAATGCTA